GGGCACAGCCACAATAGGTGACTCAAACTGGCCAAAAGGCTATTCCATACCATGTGACGTCATGCTCAGTATATAAACTGGGGGGGAGTTGGCTGGGGGGCAGCGATTGCTGCTTGGGAACTGGCTGGGTGTTGATCGGCTGTGACCGGTTGCATCACTTGTTTTTTTTTCTCCCTGGGTTTTATTCCCCTCTCTCTCTCTCGTTGTTCTCCTTTTCATTACAATTTTTATTATTGTTATTATTTTATTTCAATTATTATACTGTTCTTATCTCAACCCACGAGTTTTCTTACTTTTGGCATTCCGATTCTCTCCCCCATCCCACCAAGCGGGGAAGTCTGAGCAAGTGGCTGTGTGGTGCTCGGTTGCTGACAGGGGCTAAACCACAACAATCATTTAAAATTTTAAAAATGTTAACATTTCAGACCCCCAGGCACCGTTTCACAGACACTAGAAACTATCCTAAGCTGGTTCTGCTGCTGATAAAAGAAAAAAGTTCTCTCTCCATTTAGGCAGAAGAGATTGAGCAGAACATTAATGGGCACAAGCAGCTAGGTATACTGCAGACATCTGAGAAGGACCAAGATGCTGGTGAAGCAGGAAGAAAAAAACCCTAGGGATCCTGAGCTGCTTATGAATAAGATCAAAGATCCTTAGGTATGGGGTTAAAGCCCATCATGTAAATCAACAAGGTGGCTTAGGTGTATCATCTAAACACCCGTCTATCAAGTAGCTCTTACAAAAAGGGAAGTCCTCCCTTCTTCCTCTTTCCCCCATTTGTTCTCATGATCCCGTCTAATGCTCCTCCTTTAGCTGGCTAAGCCAATTCACTTTAGGGTTATAGGAACACCACTGACAGCAGAAAGGACCAGAGCATGTGTCCAGAGCTGAACAACACCACCACCCCTTCTTAGCTAAATTAAATTGGCTAAGATGTGCTATCAAACTAAACTCAGGACATTAGTTTTAGGGTTTGTTTGGGTTTTTTTAAACATTCAGTTCACATTTTAACAGATACACAGCTTAACTGTTATCACAACAGAATTAATCATACTTATGCAGCTATGACTGCACAACTGAGTCATTCATCAGCATTTCAGATCAACAAAACCTTATGCATTGCCACATTCTTATACAACCTTGGACACATGTTTTGTCTTTACTATCTCACATTTGTTGTTCAACATACAGCTTAAGTGGTATTGTCTTTTGAGATAGTTACTGTAAAAAACCCAAACATAAATACTTACAGTTCCAGGCCTTGTGAAGTCAATACTATGTGCTACGCTTTGTCTCATCTGATTGCTAAACAAGCGAACACAAACACTTTGAAGATACTCCGGTGTAATCTAAAAATTGGGAAACATAAAGAGAGAATGGGATTATATAAAACTTCCACTTCCTACCAGACAAGTGTTTCTATACTAAAAGCTGGTTTGGATTTTTTTTTAAGAGGGCAAGAAATCACACACCTGAGACTCCTCGATGCAAGCACAAGGTATATATTGCAACTACAGTTCTGTTCAGAAATCAAGAAAACTGCAAACTCTCTTTGTCTGGGTATAGTTATGCTATTCACAAGACTAACACTAAACACTTTCAGACAGCCTAGAAGAAAAACAGAATTTGTCACACCTGTGTTTGCATACAGATTTTCCTCAATCAAAAGGTAAGTTGTCCACCAGTAAGTATGAAGCAGTTTTGTGATTAGAATTAGACAATGATATGCTGATGTGTTGTCTAGCTAAAAAGCAGAACTTACACAACTATCTTGTACAGCAGAGAGAATACGAATTACACAGTACAACACTTTGTGTTTCAATGCAAAACATGTCAGTGGGTTTAGTGCTTTTGTTTTGGGAAATCTATACCACAATAGAACTGCTTAATTTCAGAACAGTTGTTATTCCCCAGAACAGAGGTGAGAGGACTGAGATTATAAAAATGTGAATGGGGACACTTCTGATATTCTCAGACCTATAGTGAGACAACAAAACCCTTGAAATTCAGAATGCTGTAACTTCAGCATGATTTTATTCAGTACCCAACTCCAATTTGGATGCAAAAATGACAGAAATCAAGCTTCCTAATGAAAGAGCACCCTCAGCTGGACACACTTGGGAAGGATCAAATGACTGCCCAGCACAAGGCTTACAAGGAAATTAAACAAGCATCCACAACAAAAGATAACCAGTGCTTGGTTCCTCCACCACAGAAAGTAAGAGGATATCACCTTGGAGAGCACTGAAGTGTGAAATGGGAGGCAGCAAATGAATAACTATATGTTTCTTATTGTTATCGAAGCTCATGTGAGCAGACACCTTTCCTAATCTGCTGTAAAGCAAAATCTACACCTAAAGGCAAATTCTTCCCTGCAGTAATGATGTGAGCAGACAGTGATCCCAGATGTAGAGTAACAAACTACAAGATGTTCACGCTGATGACAGGAGGAAGGTACCTACTGACTTTTCAGCAGGCAGCACAGGAACTCCCAGGTCATTCTCTCTGCTAACAATTCACAGCTCCTTTAAAAGCATCTAGAGGCCACTAACATCTGCCATAAGAATAATCTTCAGGTTATACAGAAGTTATAGTATGGAGGCATGCTCACAGAGAAGATGGCACAAAAGACGAAGCATAAAATCATCTTTGTGTAAAAAATACCCATAAGAAAGTTGTAGCTTCTCCAGTCACATGTGTAGCCCATTTCACACAGTGAATAACTCATTCATAGAATCACAGAATGACAGAGTCGTTTAGGTTGGAAAGGACCTTTAAGATCAAGTCCAACCATTAACCTAGCACTGTCAAGTCCACCACTAAACCATGTCCCTAAGCACCACATCTACATGTCTTTGAAATACCTCCAGGGATGGGGACTCAAGCACTTCCCTGGGCAGCCTGTTCCAATGCTTCACAACCCTTTCAGCAAAGAAAATTTTTCATAATATCCAATCTAAACCTCCCCTGACGCAGCGTGAGGCCATTTCCTCTCATCCTGTCGCTCATTACTTGGGAGAAGAGACCAACACTCACCTCGCTGCGACCTCCTTTCAGGTAGCTGTAGAGAGCGATAAGGTCTCCCTTCATAGAATCATAGAATCTTTTAGGTTGGAAAAGACCTTCAAGATCATCCAGTCCAACCATTAACCCACACCACCAAGTCTACTCCAAGCCAATCAAGGGTAGACTAGACTAAACCATGTCCCGAAGTGCCACATCTACCTGTTTTTTAAACACTTCCAGGGATGGGGACTCCGCCACCTCTCTGGGCAGCCTGTTCCAATTCTTGACCACCCTTTCCGTAAAGAAATTTTTCCTAATTTCCAACCTAAACCTCCCCTGGTGCAGCTTAAGCCCATTTCCTCTCGTCCTATCGCTAACTACATGGGAGAAGAGACCAACACCCACCTCAGTACAACCTCCTTTCAGGTAGTTGTAGAGAGCGATAAGGTCTCCCCTCAGCCTCCTCTTCTCCAGGCTAAATAACCCCAGTTCCCTCAGCCGCTCCTCAGAAGGCCTGTGCTCCAGACCCTTCACCAGCTTCGTTGCCCTTCTCTAGACACACTCCAGCACCTCAATGTGAGGGGCCCAAAACTGAATGCAGTATTCAAGGTGCATCCTCACCAGTGCTGAGTACAGGGGGACAATCACTGCCCTGCTGGCCACACTATTCCTGATGCAAGCCAGGATACTATTGGCCTTCTTGGCCACCTGGGCACACTGCTGGCTCATGCTCAGCCAGCTGTTGGCCAACACCCCCAGGTCCTTTTCTGCTGGGAAGCTTTCCAGCCACTCTTCCCCAAGCCTTCACTCTTACCCCAGTTCCCTTTACCAATTAAATTAACAAGTTCAGCTTAGCAGAAGAGAGAACAAAGCTTTTCCTCACCAAAGTTTTGGATGAGAAGATTGTTTCTATCACAGTGTAAGTTAAAACAGACCTGGCAGCAGTTTTAAATATACAACAACCTCTGATGGGCTAGATTGCAGTCAGTAATCACAGAAATGCCCTCTAATCACTGCTGATGCCAAAGCTCAAAAGGGGGCTCTCATAAGAGATCTAGAAGTCTTGTGAGATGGTGACAATTTCTTCAAGATTTCTGAGCCAGCACAATTCAACCCATCTTCTGCACTACCTTTATCCTAGTACACAGGGGCAATGGAAGAATCTCATCCAAAGTGCCGTGTTTCATTAGTAAAGAGACACAGTACTTATAGAAATGCTCATAACTACGAAGTTTAATTCACATTTTAGTGGCATTTTCTCTCCATTTTCTGGGGGGTGGGGGAAGCAAGTACACATCTGATTCAACTCTTACCATCTTGCCATTGACTGTGGCCTCCAAGGAATCCACCAGCTCTGCAGTGACTCCAATGAGATTATGGTAGTCTGCCTGCATTTTGTTAAATCGTTTCAGGTAGGTCATGGTCCTGTGCTCAGATTCCACTAACTGTTGATGAAGATGTTGCAACATTTCTGTCAAGAGAATAACAACAAAGAAACAATGTCACCTTTTCAACCGAAAGTACAGAAGAACCCACAAGCCTTTTTACTGCTCTGACAACTTCAACTGCTTTTATCCAAGGGGCTGAATTTCACTGCAAGGATAATTTCACACTACTACTGTGACTTCATTTCATCGCAACAGCTACAAGTATTTATTTTGCCTTAATTGCCCAAAGAAACAATTGCTTGACAGCTACAGCAGCAATACGACTATTAAACAGTAAACATCACTGAATACATTTGTGAAGACGATACTGTTTTAAAGGTTTGTTAATACAAGAAGTTCCATGCTATCAGAGACAAAATGAGGCTGTGGGCAACGAATCAGAAGAATATATGACAAAATGCAGCTCAGACTTGGTTTGAACTTGCTATCTGCAGATGAGATTCATGCATTGTCTTCTACATTCAATAAAGTAACAGTGGGTAAAAGACATTATCACACCAAGCAACTGGAAAGGTCAAGCAGCCACTTCAAAGATAAAACAACAAAACAGGAGAATGACAGTACCCAGAGATTCATGCCAGTGTTTGTTATATTACACTGTGAGGCTGGGTGTTTTCTCCAGCTAATTTACAGAAATAGACCACTGATATTTAGGTTATGTAGCGCTTTGCTTATTTTAAAGTAAATACTAAGTCTTCTATCTTTTAAGAAAAATGGTACAACTCACAGGAAAAAAAAAAAAAACCAAACAACATTCAAAGTTATCCAGTTCCTCATCTGCTATTAAAATATTCCTTGAATTCTTTGAAGTTGCAGGGAATTCTCTACTTCATTCTCTACTTCTACACAAAACTTTTCAGGCGATTCCATAATTTACTGGTTGATGGTAACCTATATTAGTTACTTTTAGTACCTTCAGTTTCTGAAAATAACTCCAATTTTTCCTTTATTTCTGTCTAAATTAAAAAAAAAGTTACATTCCTGATGCATTTTGTTCCTTTGGGTTCAATTACTTCAGAGACAAAAGCAGCAAACTAAACACCAAAATCTGTATCCTCCATCCCAGTCTCAGACCTAGCCAAATTAGAGTTCTACATGGAAGTCAGGCACAGAATGTGGAGCTGTGTACCACAGTGCACATCTGCATGACTGGACAAAACTATGAAGGGAGGCACAGTAATTATATTGTTACTGCTGATGTTTATGTGTTTTGCTAGAACATTATGTTTTAAATTAGTTTGCTGAGAAGACAGTATTGCTCTAGTGTTGTGATAATGGCATGGTGCCCATCTGCAAACAGACTGAATATTTACCATAGGACTTTCTGTTAAACAATGGGCAGGAAACAGCTTGACTACAGGGTTTCAGACAGAAGTAGGATTCATTTTCACAGATTTAAAAACTTTTGGGGTTAGGGTGGAGCATTCCAAACAGCCCAATATGACACAGTTTAGGTCCAAACAGACCCAGAGGGAAGAAAAACAAAGATGCAAAATTGGAAACTAGAAAAACTAGTTACTATTCCTGGCTTTGAACAGACTATGCCCACAATCTTTGAGTAAACCATTCTCCTTTTTCATGATTCACTGTCTCTTTCCATCAAGATGTAGATCATATGTTCCTGTAACATAGAAGCATTGGGAAACATAACTGATAGAAGTAGAAATCTTTGGGATCTTCATTTGGAGAGTCCTAAGCAGTACAAATAGGTGTAGTTATTTAAAAACTGTCCCTTGCCATTTGCTCCCCTGCTCTCTGAACTTGGGCACAAACCTCTGCTGTCGCATGGCAGCTGGCATATGGGTGGTAAGCTTAAGCAGAAAGGGGAAAACGGGAAGGGGAAGTGCCATATTAGCACCATGGCTTATCTGGTAGAGCCTTCACAAGTCATCTTCTACAATGGCAATCTAGTTATATCGCAGGTAGTGATGTACTATTCGTGCACAAATATCTGCCAAACAACTTCTGACAAACTGCTTCAAAAAGCAATAAACACATGAACATAAAGAGACCCAAAACTGCCAGAAAAATACTAATCAAATAGAACTGTTCATAAAGCTTTCATTACAAATGAAAAAGATCAAAGTCATTAGATAGCTCTGTGAATTCAGATGTTGGAAATTGCTTTAAAAACTTGTCACATCTTACGGATTTTTAGGGTTTCTGAAATAGGCTGCTTTCATCTCATTTATACGAAAAGCAGTAGATGGCAGAACAGCTTACTTTTACTTTCAGAAAATTTAGCAAAATTATCTTTTTAATGTGGTCTTTTAAAGAAAATTTGCATTAATCTAGCTATAAACTTTAGCTATAAATTGACAGTCTTAAAATAAAATATGGAATACAGAGAAGGTGCGTTGTCTTAATTCAAATCTGTATTTTTTTCAAAATTCATGAGTTAAGGAAAAAAAAAACAGTTATTTTACTCTCACAGCTGCCTCCCCTCTAAGAGTCATTCATGAATCACAGCATTCTGCACCTGCAGGATTTGTGACTGACACCTGATAAACTGCAAATCAAGACACCCTCATGATATTTTTGTTATACTTTCTAGGAGGGAGCCAAAACTGGTGTGAAATAACAACAGAAGCTGAGACAAGCCACAAATCTTGTTCAAATCCAGCAAAAATGCACTTGGAAAAAAAGAACACTAGAACAGCTCCCAGTAACAGTAACATCTTGCGAGAGTGCCAAACTTTAAAAAGTTCTTTAGGCTGTTAAAACCATCTCAATTGCAATCAATATTCATCAGCTTAAAAATCAGAATAGTTAAAATAGCTTCCAAAGACAACCCAAATTATTCTTCCTTGATAATAATCATTCAACTTCGATTTTATTTTTATTCCACAGCCATCACTGCTAAACTGCTACCACAGCTTTAATATGAGACAGCTCCAAAACAAGAATATTTGTCTAAACTAATAGATTCCGAGAGCAACCATTGCACAAAACTAACCACTTTTCAGCACTTTATTCCTTTGCCTAGATGAGCAAATTGGAATACATTTTTATTTAACTGTGATACAACACATTTGATTCAGAAGTTTCCAGTGGATGTACCTAGAGCATGACTTTCACTCAGAGGAAAGTTGGAAGCACCAAGTCATGAAACATAAAGCTACTCATAATTTGCTTGCTTTTCATAGCCCAGTGGGGAAAATTTCCAGTGATGAAAATCTGTCTTCCAACTACAGTCAGCATTAAAAACTACAGCACCAAAACTCAATGCAGCTCATGCATGCTAGTCTTGCCAACTGAGAATCAGGGTCCACCTTACCCCTTGCCTGTTAATTCCAGGGATTACCGATTATAAACACTTGTCTTTACTGAGAAAAGAGAGTCAAAGAGAAGAATCATAAAGTCTTGACATATCTTGCATTTTTTATATCACTATCCTCTCACACATGAGTAATTTTACTAAAAAAGGAAAAATATTTAATTAAAGTTTTTCTTACCAAGAGGGCGGGAAGCTTTCATCATTGATGTGTAGCTGACCCAAGTACAGACAGCTGTTGGAAGAGCTGGTCCTGTGCTGCCCCATTCCCCCCTTGCATTCCTGCCATATCCCCATAATCCCCATAACCAATAACACCATTCATGCAGACAGATCAGGGAGTTACCAGTCCAGGTAAAAACTAATATTTAGTTGCTTGTTTAAAATGTTAAATCATTGCCATCTGAGCCAGGATAGGCGAGAACGAAAGAGGGTCTTTCAGCGCCAGTTCAGCTTTAAGTTCACTTGGGATAGGCGAGAAGGAAAGATGGTCTTTCAGAGCCAGTTCACATTTAAGTCACCTTGCAGCAGCCATCAAACTGCACCCATGAACAGGAAGAAGAGAGTAACACATTTGGCTTCTCCCTTTCCCTCCCAGACACAACTTCCAACACTAACAAATGCTTTCTACATATGATAAGCTTATGGGGAAGGAGGGAAGCTCTGGACCTAATACCTACCAGAACCATTATTCATCTGTGGAGAAAAAGAGGGGAGAATAAAGGACAGAGGACTAACCCCCTGGTTTAGGAAGATACAGTGTACAGTAAAGCTTGTGACTCTGCCAAATGAAGATGCTGGCATCAGGCATCACCTGAACTACTGCATGTTTCTACCAGTATTCTTACCTGCTCTCTCATGTATGTAATTGTTAAGCCTTTTTAATGTTTTGACTCCAGTTCCTATAAGCAGCCAAGGAGTTACACACATGCACATAATTCCACCGTAAGCTTTTCTCTGTGAGAGGTTGGTCATTATCCTTTCCAACAACTTACCTACACATCAAACATGCTTCCTGAACTTGCACTTGCTCTCTCTGTGTCTCTAATCTCAGCCTACCCTCACATACTTTGCTAGAAGCACTGACTTTGGCCAGGTTGAGTTCCTGCATACAATGCAGCAGAGCTCTCAGCAGAGGAGCTGCAGGTCCCAAGAGCTGCTGTCAGACACCAGGGCTCCTTAGGTAACACCAAAACCTTGCTCTTAGGAGAGGCAGTAGTTGCCTTGTCTCCTTCTTGCTTACCTCATTTCCATAAAAATTACTATCCATATTCTAAACTGACATCTTGCCACATTAATAGTCTTTCAGAACAGCAAATCTTGACAGACAAGTAGGTCACACTTCACCTTCTCTTGTGCAGCAGCCTGACACACTTCCTCCACTCTCCCCTTTCCCAAAATAGTGGAAGAGTGGCTGTGAACTCATCCACAGATTTGTAATGAGGCAGTGAAAGGGACAGTAGCTGAACACGCTTCCACGTACTCCATTCCATCCATTCCTGTTAGCACAGAGGACACACAAAAGGTCTGAAACTCTCTGTGCAAGATGCCAACCATTCTGCAATTTTTCTCTTCCCAGCCAAACTGAAAACATATAGGAGAGCTGTAAGTTAAGCACAAATGCCACACAGACAGCTTCGAAAGTCATACAGGTATTAAAGTTTTTTAGCAAATGGGTAAAAAGCCAGACTGTAGCAGGTTAATCAGGAAAGGTAAACACACTAAACTCTCCAGGACACCCTCAAGAGCATATATACCACCCCACCCAAACTTGAAGTGCTTCAGTATGTCAGACTAATGACTGGCAACTATTTACAAAAGGTTGTTTTCAGGACTCTTTGCCATATTGGTCTTCATTCATGCATTGCCTGTTAATTTTCTTTGCGTTTCTCTTTCACTGATAAAGTAAACATTCTCCAACAGTGAGTATGTACCATGGATCCCATGTGATCTGAACAGCATACTGCAAAAATAACCTCTCAGATCCAAAACTTTCATACGAGACAGGCCTCAAGTAACCTTTATGAAAAATCCAAACCGACTCAACCTCCAAGGCACGTAACAGATCTACAAATTAAGGCTGGCCTGCATGGATTCAATACCATGACAGTCCTTGTACTTGTACAAAGCACAGAACCCACCCAAATAAAAAATAATTAGGTCCAAAACAATTCAGGCCCAATCAAGTAGTTACTTATTTATAATCAGAGTATGGAATTATTGCCTTCAGGAAAGTCCATCACAAGGAAAAAGAGTAACTTCTGGAAAATAAAAATCCACAAAGATCTTTCTATTATTCAATGGAAGTCTAATGCAACACAATGCACAAAATAACAAAGACAATACCTGTAACTCACAGTGGGAGATGAGCCTAACTTTCTCCTTAATTCAATCCACAAATAGTAAATCCTCAGGGTAAAAGTACAGATGAAAATAACTCAAGAGGAAAAGTCATTTTAGGAACCCAGCTGGGCTCATAAATCCCTACCAATTTGTTTGATCCCTATCGAACACAAAGTCAAGTGAAAAAATGAAAGCAAGGGAGTTGGGAACCTAAGTTCTATTTATTGAACTGATTTTTAAAAGGCACATATTTCAAGTACCATCAGCATCTAATGGGATTTGGTGCTGAAATTCTTACTTTTTAAAGGACCCCAAGCCACTTAAACACTTAAGCGTGTTATGAACAGCTTACCTAAAAATGCAACACATCAGAGAGTCATACTTAAATTAACACATTCTTATTCAGGAGATACCAATATGTACTATTTTAGGAGTTTAAACAGGATGAGTGAATAGGAACAAAAATCAGCTTTATCCAAGATCATCAGATAGTCATCAGAGTAACTGAATGAGATCTGAAATCTGGAAGATGCAGATAAGCATAAGCAGGTATGGGAAAGGGATCTCAGGAAAGTTAATTTCATCATAACAAAAAATGGAGAGCTGGTATGCACTTTGTACAGAATTCTCCACTCGTTTTTACCACATTTCAGGACAGAACAAACTTAAAATACAAATCCCAGTATTAGGCCCCCTCCCATTTCTAGTACATGCCTATGCTCAACACTACTGACCTCAAGCAGTCTAGCAATAACTATCACCAAGACAGGATCTAGATTTCAAAGGACTTTTTGCCATGCATCACTAGTTTCCCCGTCATTCCAGGCGTACTTTCCACCACTATTATAGCCCTTAATAATCTTACAGAATACCCTTACCACATCTCAGCAATTACCTTTGTTGCACTGTCCATTCTCCTTCTGTTGTATGAGTAGGAGCAGTTCAGGAAAATGTGCGTCCTTTCAGTACATGTTTGTTCCAGAGACACAGAATGAGAAATTCAACCAACTGGCAAACCCAACCAAACCAAATATTCCTACTGTCCCAGGCAACAGCCAATGCCTGATGCTTCACAGGAGAGCAAGAATAAATTAATCAATAATAAATACATAAAAATCCCATAAGTGCACAATGTACAATGTTGCATGGAGACTTGGGACTTTTTGCTGACCTTTAAATATACTGGATCTAGCCCTGAAGTATAAGATATGGTAACTCCAGCCTAAGTGTATTAACACCAAAATCAAAAGTCAAACTGCTGATTGTACATAAAATATATACAAATTTTTTAGGGCAAGTGATGTTTTATACCCAAGAAATATTCAGGGCTTAATTAGGATCCAGTCCATTACTCCATAAAGAAGAATAAGCAGAGAGGAAATTTTCTTCAACTGTTCTATGCCAGACTCCCACACAAACATCCGTAACATGGGAGTGAAAGCAGTGTTTTGATCACTGCTCCCCATCCTGGCAAATAGGCAGGAATGGAACAGAAGGAATATAATTTCCAGATCATCATTCACTACCACCATGGCAAGATGCTGCTTTAGAATAAAGTAAGATATAGTGGGAAAAGGACTTTCAACTTCTGTTAAAAAAAAAAAAAAAGCCAGAAACAAAGACTCCAGTTCAGTTCTCTCTACCTTGCCCTTAACTGTACTGGCCAAAAATGGAGACGATAATTTGTCATACAGCTAGTTAGTTTGCAAATTAGGCCTGACAACACAGCTTAAACAATATTGTTAGAAAAACAATACAGTCTGAAGCACAAGCCATTTAGTAAAACAATAATTTCTGGAACATTTAAAAGCTCTGGAAAACTTTTAGCTAGTCCCTGAAATGGCTAATTTAAAAGACTAATGGCTTTACAAATGCTAAGAAAGAAGTCAGGTCAGGTCAGGTCAGTGCCTTGGGGTATCCTGTACTTTATACATGGAAGCAAAGAATGGTCATATCATAAATATGCAGGTTCATATGCATCTATACATTGTCTTTACATAACTTTTTCAAAAGGTTTTTTTGAATATGGACTATAAACAATGTTTCCTATCATAAAAACACTGAACTGCAACATTACTGTAATTCTGCAATATATCTTAGCAGCACACTCTTCCAATAAATTATACTGCCTCTTTATAGTAATTCTAATTATCTTCAAAGTTTTTTCTCAAAAGGATACAAATAAAGTGAGAAGCTGGGGAGTCTGTCTGGCTTTGAGAGTCAGAGACAGGAACTTTTCCAATCTTGTCTTTAAATCCAATGTCCAAGAATCCTTGAAAAGAAAAACAAATTATGACAGTTGCTCACCAAATATGTACACTTTGATGAAAGTACTCTTTGGATCACAGCAACCTTCCACTAGTAAACAAGGCAGCCATCACTGCATTGAAAAGATTTTCTCTTCACTGTTACTGAAGTGAATGCGTTTGCTAGCTACCCATAAAAGTGTACAGAAGTTAGAAGAGCATTCAGTGTTGTTCCTAGACAAGAGTTCTAAAAACACAATGTAGCTTTATTTCAAGTGTAAAACTACCATATAGTGTTGGTGCCTTGTGTGCACATGCAACAACAGCCCCTAAATTAGAAGTACCTTTAAAATATAAGCAACTTGAGAAAAAGATGAAAAGAGGAATATGAATTTTAAATTTATTAAATAGAATATGAAATTAATTATTTTCCATTGCTTACTTTTCAAAAAGTAATCACTGTAGTCATCTTTCTCTCCTAACAAGATCTGGGAATTGTAAATTTTGTCAATACCTATTACAAGCATCGTGACATGACATCAGCAATCAGGGTACTACATTTCTAAAATAAGGATTTGGAGAAAAACAACTCATGTACGAAAAATAGACCAACATATCAGCCACTAACTGGAATGCTGTCTTCTGCCTGGCATAGTGTCTCATAAGCACAAGAAAATAACAGTTAAGGAAAAAAGCCAAACTACACCTAAGAATTCATTGAATACCCATGTCTTTTATTTCAAACCTTCAGTTAAGCTAGTTTCTGCTTGATGAAAAGCTAGCCAACAGATGAAAAAAAGTATCTTCCAAGTAGCAGGAGCTTCCGAAATTTACTGCTGTATATGTATATTTTGCAAGCTGTTCTCACAGCTCAGATTTGCCCTTATTTCACCGTGCTGGAGAGCATACAGAATTTACTTGCTGCATTTACCAATTCAGTATCCAGACAGTGGTGCACCACAGTACGCTGTATATTACCAAAGGAACCATGTCTCCTACAGAGAGGAGTGTATATTATTTTTCAAGATGTATTACACAAACAGACAGGAACTCCAGCTATATAAAGCATCAGACGCCTGAGTAAAAAAAAAAAAAAAAAAGCCTTAAGAACGCTGCTTAGTAGACTAGTGACTCACTGCTGTTCTTTCTCAAACATAAAACAATCTCTGTTTCAACACTAACATGGAATGAGCTGTACAATTCCCACAAGAAAATATGAGTGACTGTGGACTAAGAGCTTGGACACTGGGTTACTATGAATAAACTTGAGGATCTTGTCTTAGATAAGGCATTAAAAAAAAAAAAAGCTGCTAAGTATAATTAAAAAAAAAAAGAGTAGTCATATCCCATCTCTGAGGTCAACCAGTACATCTCATTATTTATTGCTAGTCCCAAAGGAAAATGGCAGCATATGCCTTTTTTTGGTGTTAAACTGGAGCTCCTCATCAGCTGGTACATCTAAAGTCAGCCCTAGGGCAAGTATCACTTAAGCTTTGATTTTATATGAAAAAGGGTGTGGCAGCAATGCAGGCTGAAAATATCTCCTCCCACCACAGCAACTGCCCGCAGCTCCTTAGATAAGCCAGCAGAACTGTCCATGTGGTAGGACGGTGAAGCATTTCAAGCATATAATCCTGCAAAATACTATACAGATTTTACAAATAAATTTGGGTATGCACACCTGTATACACACACCTTCACAGGCAATAAAAGAGATCAGTTCCTTGATCCAGTCCAAGTGCAACCGCATAACCAGCCATTTCCAGCATAACCAAGAAGTTAAGGGGCAGTTTTGCATCGCAGGAACAAGCCATCAGCAGGTGCAATGTGGGCTGTACCCTCCCCACAGGAATTGCCACCAATACTTCGGAACATCAAATCACAAGTCTGGACATCATCTCCTAACCATCTACCTGCCCGGTGCCCAGAAAGCAGTCAATGTGTTTTATTACCCCTTCATCAACAGAATAACTGTAGATCATCATCATGTTGAAAGTGCACCTGCAAATGAGATCTATTTTGAAGTTCAAGCACACTAAATTTTACACTCCCTTCTCACCTTGCACTGCAAGCCCGAGAACTGAACTCTGAAACAGCCATTCAAAGGCAAAGGCTAACACATATTTAACAAAAAAATGAACTAGGAAAAATGCCTGTAGCAAGAGTTACCAAACCACTAAGCACAGCTATGTTCTTCCAGCATTTTTTTTTTTCTGGGGGGTGAGGAAGAATCTCAGAACATAGACATCAGTGACTTGTTTTCTGTCACAGGAGGATTACTTATAAACTTGACTTTCTCTTTTCCACATTAAATGAAACTGTTTCAGTCTCCTTATGCCTAGCTATCATATTTTAAATCCAGCTTTATATACACAGATAGTCGGGTTGGGCAACAACCTCAAAGCAAGTAAGTGGACTTAAGCTACTATACAGTGATTCCCAGAAGCACATGTATTTCAGGGTCATGTGGAAAGGAAGAAGAGGTAGCAATTCTTATTTATGGACACAAAGCTGATGTACCATTTAGGACTCAAGCAAATATAAAAGATATTTAAGATGGTGCTCTGTTATTGATAGCACTCTCACAACACTTCCTCCATCAAATATATGTTCTTTTATGATTGTACAGTTTCTGTTAAAGGAAACAATAAAAGCAAGTACCAAACTAAACATCATTCAATATCTATCGCCCCATGAGAAAAATCGTCATAAATACCATCTCTGCAAAATAGATACTTACCTGGAAAAGTTCTTTAAATGAAGGATGTACCATGGGGTTTGGAACAAAAGGCAAAGCATAGAAGGGAAGAAACTCTGTAGTCTGGCTCAGTGCAGCTCCTTTTGTTTCCAGATACACCTTAAAACAAGAAATCCTTTCCTCAAGTGCAGCTTTGTCCTAGGAAATAAAGCAGCGTATTTATTTAGAAAACTACTACTCTGAATGCACTGTAAAGCTGGTAAATATAAGCAGAGACCTAAATACATTAATATCAAGTTTGAAATCCCAGAATATTTGTTATCTAAAACAAATTTGAGCTCATCGATGCTATTATGAGCTATTTGAGCTCATTGGTGATGTCAAGACTGGAGGCAGCTTGGGTTGCAGTGATCACACGTTGGTGGAGTTCACGCTCCGGAGGGACATGGGAAATGTGAGGAGTACAGTCAGGACACCAAATTTTAGAAAAGCAAACTTCCAGCTCTTCAAGGAGTTAGTCAGAAGGACCCCCTGGGAGACGGTCCTCAGGGACAGGGGAACAGAACAGAGCTGGCAGATCTTTAAGGACACCTTCCATAGACCGCAAGAGCTATCAGTCCCCAAATGTAAAAAATCAGGCAAGGAAGGGAAGAGACCAGCATGGCTGAGTCGAGACCTGCTGGTCAAACTAAAGAGTAAGAGGGAACTGCACAGGCAGTGGAAGCAGGGACAGGTGTCCTGGGAGGAGTACAGGGAAACTGCCCGGTTGTGTAGGGAGGGGGTCAGGAAGGCCAAGGCAAGGATGGAGCTGAATTTGGCAAGGGATGTAAAGAATAACAAGAAGGGCTTCTACAGGTATATCAACTAGAAAAGGAAGGTTAAAGAAAGTGTACCCCCCGCTGATAAAGAAGAATGGCGACCTTGTATCAACGGACGAGGAGAAGGCTGAGGTACTCAACAACTTCTTTGCCTCAGTCTTCACTGGCAACCTCTTTCCTCACCCCTCCCAAATCAATGGACCAAAAGATGGGGACCAGGGGGGGTAAAGCCCCTCCCACCGTAAGGGAAGATCGGGTTCGAGACCACCTGAAGAACCTCAATGTACACAA